TATCTTTGCTAATAATCATGTAATAAATCGGTTAATTCCGCAGTGGTCACTACTGTCTCGAAACAATCCTCAATCTTGCAGTCTGTGCAATTTCTCACATGCTAATCTTGTAAAAATCCCGCTCTCTAGCTGCAACTTCAGAAGCTTAAGCCTCCGTTACTTGTCATTACACAGGCCTTATAAGGCGGGAATAATTTGTTTTGTTACTTCTTAAATAAGCCATGTAGCTGTATCAGTCTTTAGGAGAAATAAGGCAATTTAATCACCTTTCCTACCGTCATCCTTTTCTTGTTGTCTTTCACTCTGTCACTCAAAAGAGGGACAATCGTTTTTGGTGGAATCGTGTAGCTCTATCGGAACGTCTCCTACGAAGACGGACCCCATTCACTTTCCCCAGATAAGATTTATTGGGCCTCATTTCAAGATGGGTCTGTGTGTGGCGACTGCTGTAACGTGAGGATACGGCCATGTTCAGCTTACATCCCTCTCACTGCCTGTGTCATTGTCCATAACGCGGGTGGGACTCAGCTTGGGGCGACAGTAGCGGCTTCATCCTGGGTGACGCATGCCAACATCCCCCCCCCACCCCCACCCCGCATGCTGTATCAGCTTTAATTGGCTGACAGCATCTGTGGCCAACGTGCACTGATCGGGGGGGAGAGACCAGCTGTCACTCCTGAGCTGGGGAAAAACACCTCGAGATAACGGCCTGGTGGGGTGGTGGTTTGGGTCGGGGGGTGGGGTGGGTGTGTGGGATCTGATACCGCTAGACCCCACATTGTCATTCCCTTCACTGCCAAGCCTTTGCCTCCGGGTCCTTTTATCTGAAGCGGGCGGGTTATCTGAGTCTAGCAGTATGCTCTTGGGTCACCGAGCGACGTCTCTGGAAAGGGGAATTACCTAATGGGGCTCAGTTGTTCGCCAGTGGCCTCACAGCCAGCGGCTGGCATGAAGACGTGGCTTGGAAGCTCCGCCTTAACACCCTGTGTTAACACCTGGCGATAGACACATGCTACTAGCCACAAGCCCCTAGCCACAAACCGCTAGCCACTACCCACTCTGCTAGCCACACGCCGCTAGCCACACGCCGCTAGCCACTACCCACATTCCGTTAGCCATACTCCGCTAGCTACACACCGCTGGTCACATTCTGCTAGCCACACGACGCTAGCCACTAGACACACTCTGCTCACCACACGCTGCTAGCCACATGCCACTAGCCACACTCCGCTAGCCAAACACCGCTATCCACACACCACCAGCCACTAGCCACACACAGCTAGCCACACACTGCTAGCCACACACCGCTCGCTCCTGGCCAACCTGCATACCAAGTCTACAGGGGTTTCTCGCTTAAAAAAAAGGTTATCTATAATGCACTTCATAATGCATTATACTGGTTGGTATAAGAATTACTAAAGCTTACAGCATCTTCTATTGATAGTAATTAGGCAGTATATAGTGTTGATTGTAACACCTCATAAACTACAGAGAAGCTCTCATAAATAATGCACTATAGAAACCTTTGTAATGCATTGTAATGGTCAGTATAAGAATTAAGGATGCTTTGTACCATATTATGAAGGTATCTAGAGTGCATTATTGATGAGAGCTCCAATAAAGCATTCGTATTGCATAATAATAATGTGTTATGCCTTCTTATAAATATTTATAGCCATGTTTATAATGCATTATGAATGCATTATAATCTATTATGAATGTGTTCATGGATTCTAATAGACATGGCATTCATAGACATTGTTACCAAAAAATACAACCCAGCCTTAGATTTTCATGAGTTTGGATGAGATGCTGAACAGGTGGGGGGTTGGCAGAGGTAGGCAGCACCTTGGATAGGAGGTGGTGGCATGATGTTGTAAGATTAATTTGTAGCTTTTAATGAACATTTCACTTTTGATGGAGGATACTGTGAACTGGCATCTTTTTGCCCAGTGCTTCCTTTAGGCTTAATGCGGCACCATGCTAGATAAGCACTTAAGAATTGATGGATAAATGGATGTATGTATGGATGGATGGATGGACGATCCTTATAACATTGGCAGAGCTTTGGAAGGTTTTCAGAGTTAAGCAGTACAAGGAACTGGCCTGTGTCTGAGCAGTTGTTATTCTGGCACTAGGATGCGTTTAACTCAGATCGAGACGGTGTTTCTGTTCACATCATGCTCACTGAGTGGCAGTTTGGAGGCTCTGTCATGCTTCTTCATAAGCAAGATCAATTTCCAAGACTTAAAAATAAACTTAAAAATAATAAGCTTGTTTTGTGTAATACATTATCTATGCGGAATATAAATGAATCATGGCTTTTGTAGACTTTTCTAGACTTTCTAGACTGGATTTTGCTAGAACTGAGGAAGGATATATTGACAGTGACTCAAAGAGGCTTCCATATTTTGAATGAATTGTAATTGCATCATGTGAAACAGAATCGTTTTAGGATCTCAGGAGATCAAATTCAGGTCAGGTTTGTTAAGAAAAAACAGATGCTCTGAGCTTCATCTTGGGAGCTGTGACTTATGGTCTGGCGATTGGCGAATACGAAGGTGTAGAAGAGTCAGAGTGACAACAAAGTAGATGTAGACGTGGGGAATGATGCTGGGCAGGACCATCATACATCCATCTGGAGAAGCTCAATTGATGGACCTTCAAGGTGTGAAACTCTCGTCCCATTTTAGCTCCATGATTTAAACAGCTGCAAAAGTCAATTTCTTGTCCTGCCGCCTGACAGATCGCCCAGTCTCAGCCAGTGGGGGGGGGGCACATCAACAGCGACACCTGTTCGGTGACTCATCGGCAGCGATGGCGGGACCCAACAGAACCATGGGACATGGGGGAGGTTCTTCATTTTAAAGGATCTCTAAGTCTCTGCCCCCCACATGTCTCAGTCATGGCAGGAAATAACATTTTAATCTCTGGATGCCCGGTGCTCACGTAGCATTGCAGAACATCTCTTGGGGGGGGGGATGTGGAGGTTGTGTGTTGGGGGGGGGGGATGCAAGGCTATCTCTGACAGTGATTCATTGCCTCGCCCTGTTCCTCTGTGTAATTTATGTCCAGCTGCCATTTGTATTCGGTGGGGCAGGTTAGTCCCGGGAGCAATTATGGCACATAGAATACTCAGCCCCCCCCTTTGTTGTAAGGTCTCCAGCTGCCTCACACCCTTTTAAGGTGGCCCCACACGTTGAGGCGGTTCCAGGCGTCTCCCGGACACGTGCTAAGGTGTGTGATGCCTGTCCGTCCTTGACTGCACCCAGAGCAGCGAGCCACCCCCCCCTCCCGACGTCTGACATCCGGTCCTGGAAGAACTCGTCGAGTCCCCCGATCGCGTCTCGTATCAGCATGTCTCTGCATTAAGTAACCTGTGCTCACTAAAAGCTAAACCCGATCATCAACAGTTAATCTATTTAATATTTAAACTCAGTATTAAAATTTATCTCGTACAACAGTGTCGCTGCTTAATTGTGCGATTTCCATTACTTCTGATTGACAACAAAAAAGCTTATCATTTGCATCCATCCTTATCTGCCTGGGTGACTCAGGGCATCCGAGGATTCATGGGCTGCGTTCAAAATAACTCGACGAAGACCTGTTTTTATTGTCAGTACACAGTGTGAATCTTGCAGAAGACACAATTTAAGTTTCGGTGGGGGGAAAAAAAACCTATGGTTGGCTTTATTGTGGGTAGATACCTGAACAGGGAGCAGGACCTTGTTGGTTCTGAGATTTTTGGGGTTCAGGATGAAGGTAGGTTCACGTTCACACCCACGGAAAAACGCCGGCCCTGTCAGACGTTTGCGTGGGGAGAAAAGGCGCGACTCCGTGTGTCACGCGTGGTAATGAGTTGGCAGGTGCTGAAAGGTGTTGAAAGAGACGACACTTCAGAGAGCATAGGGGGTGGGGGGCTCAGCACACACGCACACACACACACGCACACACACACACACACACACGAGCCTGCCTGGGCTGATTCTTCTTTCTGCTCTCACTCTCTTAAGGCTGCCTGAGAGAGAGGAGGGAGACGGGGTTGCCATGGAAACGACAAGGAAGGATTGTGGAAGCGTGCTTTTGAGAGAGGAAAAAAAATGGGGGATGGGGCAGTGAGATGTGGGGGGGGGGGTGCAAACAGAGGGGACTGAGGGGGCCCTGTTTTTCTGCAGCCCTCCTGTGCTGCCCGGCCCGGTCCAGTCCGGTGCCCTGGGCCTCTGCCTCTCTGCCCTTTCCCTCTCGTTCACCCAAACACCACGGCTGTGTCAGACCTGCCCGCTTAACCCTTCCCTGAGGTCAGGTGAGTCAGAATGAAGAAGAGGAGGTGAGACTGGGATTTGGGGGCGGGGGGGTGTCTCCCCGCTCTTGGGCACCCATCAGGGCCCCCTGGCAATTAGCCAGGCCAGAGACTACTAGGGGGGCCAGGGACTCTGGGCAGGCTTCCAGATGAAGAGGGCGGGCAACGGGGTCCTGGCCACAATGGGCAGGTGGATGAATTATGGGCTATGAGCTACGGGCCCGTGGGGCTGTGGGCTGTGGGCCCCGCTAGTGCAGTCCGACAACAAGACGGACACTCGCGAAGCTGGTCCATAAGACAGCGATCCGGGCAGCTGTGTCTGTCTGCAGTCACGCATGTGTTCAGGGCACCTTGCAGTACACGGGGCATTCAAGGAGAGGCGCCTGTAAGCGTGGGGGTTTCCGCTTTCACCTCACAGCCCCGACAGGGACTAAGGAGACGGAGCGCTTTGGATCGAGCTCGCCGTCTTTCCTCAGCAGCACCACAGGCTGGGTTTTCTTCCCTCCCATCCTTTTCTTCTTTTTTTTCCTTTCTCCCTTTCCAGGCTGAGGAGCTTCATTAAGAGAGAAGGCGGCGTGAAAGGGAGTGGGGGGGGAGAGAGAGAGAACCTGGGGGAATGGAGAAGGGGAGGATGTATGTGTGTGTGGGGGGGGGGGGGGTGGGGACCTCCCCTCCTGTAAGGATGATGTCAGACTCCGCAGCCGAGCGCTAGACCCTGGCACACAGCGCAGACGGCGCGCTGCTTCAGTCGGGCTGCGTGAGGGGGGACGGAGCGCAGGTGCGTCTTCCTCGCAGGTATTTATACTCCGCCGTGTGCCTCGATCTCGCCGCCGCTCTCCGGGCAGTTCCGCACGTGGCAACCATCGGCGGACTGGGCTAGTCCGTACAACCCGCCACGGACGGGGCGTTGGGTGGGGGGGGTGGTAGTGGGGTGTCGGGGGGGCCCCATGTTCGGCTTTCGGCTACCCTCTCCGCTCGCGGTCCAGCATCCAGAAGACCATGGCAGGTTATCCGAATTCCTTGTGTTGGGATATTGGTGTGGGACGGAGTTTGGTGGGGGGGGGGATGAGAGGTACCGGGGGGGAAAAGCAACCGGCATGCATAGAAAGTTTCCGCTTTTAACAAAAGACTTTCATTCTTTCAAGAGAAGAGCAGGAGGAAGAATTTTGGGCTGACTGAATGAGTTTTTTTGATTCTCGTACAAAGTTTCTGTTTATTTCAGCAGATTTTTCGTTCTCTTTTTTCGTTGTAATGAACAAAGGGGAAGCGGTAAGGCTGAATGGATCACGCCGGGGTGCGGGGGGGACGGCCAGCCGCTGGCGGGACTTGCGGCCGCCAAATCCGCTCGCCTTTTGTGTCTGCCTGCCGCCGCTTCCTGTCTGTTTCCGTTTGTTCCGTGTGCCTTGGTACACACTATAGTGAGATCTGTGTGCATGTGTGTGTGCGCGTGTGTTTGTATGTGTATGTGTGGATGGGCAGGCATCTGGTAGCTGAATGCATCTCCGCAGATGAGTGCGAGTGCATCTTCGATCATCTGTGAGGGTACGCCCACTCGCATGCGCCGTCCTTCCCGCGCCCTGTCCGGCTGTGCCGTGTCCCAGTTTGTCGGCAAACGCTGGGCAGGTGTGGCTGCTTCCGTACGGGGCTGATTTGGGCTTTGTACCTGCCGCCAAAATGTCATAGATACCTGGGCCAGTGCTGCCTGCACAAGGCCGGGCGGGACTCACCTCGAACCTGCAGCTCAGCTCATATCCGCACAGTTATTGGGCGTAAAAAGGGCAATCATTCCCTCTTTATACTGGGGAGATGGGAAACAGCTTCTGTCCCCAAAAAACGGTTTTTAAGGCGGCATATGACCACACGAAGTTTGAAGATCTCGTCATATTTACGTCTAAAATAGGTGCGGCTTCCAGAGTGTCTCCCAGGCCCCCCCGAGTAGGAAAGCAGCTCAGTAGCCAGACGGCGGAAACGATAACGGAAAGATTCCCGTCGCTTACGTTCGCCTGGCCAGGAGGCTGTCCGGAGCGGGTTGGATCGAGATGGGTGTCTGCTTCCTGTGACCCCAGTGTCACTTGCTTTTTTTTTACGGATAAAGCATTTGCACGAGTGACCCTGGCAGAGAGGTGTCGTGGGAAACACCTTCACTTTGAGCTACTGGCAGTGAATTCGGGGACAACCAAAATCGAACAGAAGACGTTAATTTTTAATTGCTATTTTTTTCTGGCTAGAAAATACCCAACAATAATAATAATCCAATACAGTTTAAATGGGTAGCTATTTTATACTTCAAAGGTATTTCATAGCTCTATAAATAAAAATAAAAAGTAGCTATGATGCACAGCTTTGCGTATTAAGGTATTAAGTGTTGTTTGCATTTTAATAATTTCAGAAAAAATTTTTGCATTTTTAAATGCTTATTGTCCTTAGAGTTTAACTGAACAGCCGCACTCGTCTTCCGAGCTGGAATAACTTGCGATGTCAGTTGTTCCACTCAGTAACGGTATTATTGTATTTTGCCGTATCTCAGTGTAGCCGCGGTCCTGTTGAGCTGCTTCCCTGCAGGGACGCGCCAACAAAGACGGCGTGAATCCCAATTTTGTCTCATACGTGTGGCTCGATTGATCTCCGTGGAAGGGGTGGGATGTCGTTTGGGGAGGGGGGGGGATGCGATGGCAAGGCTTTGTTCATTACAGGCGCTGTAACAGACTAATGCTGTCAACGGGTACGCCATATCGATCCCCGGAGCCTTTTACCGCAAGGCGTTAGAAGCACGTGTACTTAAACCGCCTACCTGGGACCAGGGGGCTCTCGCAGCCCAGCACATGGGATCGATGCTTTTCCGTCCCCAGAATCACTCTTGACTTAAGGTCGACTCTCTTTTTGGACTAACAAACTGAATTCCGTCAAAGTCAGAGGGCAGTGTTAGCTAATGACCGCACATGCACTCACGTCAAAATGTATACACGGCTCTCGTAAAAATCTCATTTAAAACCTAACATTCTCCCAAGAAGCTGGCTTTTTATATAATATGGATTTTATCATTTTAATCTGCATAGTTTATGTCAAGGTCTTAATTTACTGTTCTGGGGCAGAAAAAAAATTATGACTGTTTTTGCCTTATAACTCTAGTGCTTGTAAATGTGATAGTATGTGAATCTGTTTTATCTCAAATATAACAACATATTATGAAAAAACAATCTCCATCTAAATAAAATGGAAGGGGGTCATTTTGCACATTATTTTACTTTCATTGGTTATCTTTAGCCTTGCAATCCTTGTAAGATCTTTCATCAAAGACTTGTGAAAGATATACATTTAACAAAAGCTCCAAATTATTCTGCTATTAGGGGGTGTTCTACTATAAAAAGCTTTAAATGGAAGGCTGTGGATGTTTTGACTGAGGAGATTCCCTTCCTACAAGGAGCTGGATTCTTCATGAGGGGTGTTAAACAGCAACAGGTTTATAGGAGGGTAAATACTGTCTGTCAGGTGGCCCCCGCTGGTCTTTTCCATCTCCATGATTGACCTTCATTTCTCCATCTCCTCTCATGTAGGATAAGCTTGATAATCCTCATCCAGAGACTCTACAAAGAGGCAAGTATAGAATTCAATGGGAAGGCGAGGATTCCGTAACTTCAGAGTGCAATGACAGAGCAGAGCCTCCATGTCTTCGAATTGGAAGGACTGGCCAGAAAGCCTTGGAAACAATAGGGGTGTACAGCAGAGTGGGGGTCTTTAAATGCAGTGAAATGAGTTTCTGTCCCCAGGCAGAGAGCAAACGCTTTTTTTTTTATTGAGTTCTGTCCCTGCTCATCAACAGCAAACGTGATGCCTGTTGGCTCATATCTAGGATCCATCGTTCCTCCAGATGAACACGCCTCTGTTTAATAATATTCTGCACCTAGGAGGGACAAGGAAAGAGCTCCGGCAGAATGTGAAATCGGAAGATGAGCTCGTCCCAGTACAGCCTGTAAGACGAGGGGATGCCAATGCGCAGCTCAGATATTGCCGGGGTTTGACGACGCTTTCATCACGCTAGATGTGGCTTTGCTCTGGGAGCCTATGGAAATGAGAGAGTGAGGTTGCTGCGCGCAATGCCCATCTTTGGGCATTTGCTGCGGGATTACATCATATCGCTGGCATTGTTTTCAAAGCCGCTAAAGAACCTTATATTATATTTCAGAAGCTCTTTGTTGCTCCTTTGGCATTTGGCCCCGCCCCTTTCCTGCATTAGAGGCTGTCTCATAAAAAGTGACTGGATAATGACCTCATATGTACAAAATCGTGAGTGTCAGGTCCCTTCTAGGAGTCAGTTCCTCTGCGATTTTATACATTCTGGATGGCAGGCACTTGATTTAAATGCATCAAAAATCTCAAAACACGCACATTCTTCCAGGGGTTATCGATTTTAAAAAATGGTTTAGAAAAGAATCAGCCTCTTGTTAATATAGCTTCTGTGAAATGCACTTTGATAAATAGCTGAACCGGATCAATAGCAGCTGCCAAGTTTACACAAAGGATTGGTTCTGATCTCTGATTAATGGTAGGATTGTGTGAATATCAGGAGGACCTCGGTCTTCCAGTGGATCGTACGGGCCTGAGCAGTGCTGCCACAGCACTGCATTCTAACCCAAAGATGCAGTGAACCAGCTTAATTGTTGAAAGCGGAGAGAACAGGAAACCTGAGTGAGTTGGTTGGCTGGAACCAGTATGGCGCACAGAGACTGACTGGGAAAGGACACTGAGCTGCTCTGGAGTGAGCACACACACACACACACACACACACACACACGTCAGGTATACCTATCCTTATGGGGACCGCTCATTCACTTCTACGGGAAAAATGCTAACGCTAACTATGACAACCTTAACCCCTACCCTGCCCTAACCATAACCATAAGAAACCAAACAAAATACAGTTTTTGCATTTTTAGTTTTTCCGTAGCAGTCACCGATTTTTATAAAATAGAGTTTTCCTGGTTTCCCGGTTTCCTGGTCCCCATAAGGGAAAAAAACAGATATTTATCACGTTATGGGGACATTGTGTCCCCATAAGGATAGGTGAACCCGCTCGCACACACACACACACACACACACACACACACACACTCACACACACCTCAAGACAATTCAGGGAGCATGTCTGGTGACAACCCTGAATATAATTTCTAGGGCCATTTGTACGATAGTCCCGGAGATAATTATTCATAAAAACACATTTTGAGGCTGCTATCCATGTTAAGGATTGCATCCATAGGAGATCTGTAAGGGCTAAAGACATCGGAATGGCAAAGATTCATAATGGTAAAAAATGGCCAGCCAGGATGAGGAACTGCAGTGTAAGTTTGTGCCCAAATTTTTTTTTTACTTTTAGCAGATTTTGGCTTAAAGTATTCCTCTTTATTAAAATTTCTTCGTTACCTTTTATCAGTTGCATGAGCTGCTGTCATGGTCATAAGTTCATTTAAAATTAATTTTCCTTAGTCAGAAATTATTTCACACGATTCTAAAACCCAGCTCGAAGTGAAAGGTGTTACGCGTGTCCAGGCATAATGAGGCGTAGATGGAGTAAGAGCAGAAGTGAGCTGTAGGAACATTGGCAGCGTCTGGATGTAGGACCTTCAGACCACCGAGTGGCAAGCTGCCCCAGCACCTTAGCGATGCAAGATGAAGGAGAGCAGTCCTCTTTCAGTCCAGCTGATTTCCATTCGCAGACCTTAATTGTGCATGGCCCTCCATCCCGTACCGGTGCCGGATTGCCGATCCGTGTGCGAATGTGTCCGCAGTCGGAGGGAAGGGAATGGAGCAAGCGAGCGAACATGTCTGAGATCAAGGAAGCCAGCTGTTCTTCAAACGTGGCCTCGTGTAAGTAACCCCGTCGCACGGGGGCTTTGAAACGGGATCAAAGGCCGGCAGGCGCGAGTATGAAACGGCGCAAGGATGTTTCATGCGGCCTCCGTCGCCCCCGGGAAGGCCGGGGGGGTAGTAAGGAGGGGGCACGATTTAACTGTCATGACGTTCAGTTATGACTCTCAGTCCGCCACCTAAAATGCAGGCTTTCTAACCCACCACTACATGCTAATGATTTTTTATTTATTTTTAAATTTTTATTATTATTTGTCATTGTTGACACACCACAGCACACAACAACGAAATGTGTCCTCTGCATTTAACCCATGTGTGACTTTCGTGACATAGCAGGGGGCAGCTAATTCAGCGCCCGGGGAGCTCAGGGTACCTCAGTGGTGTCTTGCTGGTCGGGGATTTGAACCTGCAATCTTCCGATTACGAGTGCGCTTCCCTAACCGTTAAGCCACCACTGCCACCATTATGAGTGATACTGATCTGATACCGCTCACGTATCACACGTCATGCTCATCATCAGGAGCCCTTTGGAGATCTGTGGTTTTGCACTCGACACAGCCCACTGTTTATAGACTTTTCGCATCTGGATGCTTAATTACTGCTAATGGCTAATGCCCCCCTGCCCCTGCATATAGTCATCTGTTGCGTCTTGGGTCTATATATTAGACACCCAATGCCATCTGAATGAATGCTGGTGCCAGGTTATATGTAATGGAAATTAATGGACTGGAGCCTGAGGAGGATTGTCGTTTCGTTATACTCATCATTTTTAGTAACTCTCCTGTGCTCCTGTTGTTTGGTGCCTGTCGTGCTGAGGTTACGTTTATCCAGCTATTAATATCTGGTGGGATTTAAGTGGAAGGAAAAATCTTATGTTGTTTTAATGGAGGGCATCAGTGTAGTACCTGAGCAGTCATTACATCGAGCTCCTCCTGTGCTTATTTAAGGATTTATTAACTCTTTTCATTTTATTCTGCCTTTCATAGTTAGGTTGTTGAATATGGGCAAAGAGAGCAAATGTTGTTGATTCAAATTTACAGGAATTAAAAAAAAAATGCATGGAGAAGAACAGACAGAATAAGGAACACGGAAGCATTAAGCAGGACCTGGGATTCACATTTTTCTTGCCCAGGAACAGAGGTTAGCATCCGTAGCTGAGGGCCAGGACAGTGATGTGTGATATGGCCTCAGACTGGTGAGAACCAGGCGATCTCTCCAGCGGCAGGCGTCGAAAGTCCATCAATGGCTCAACATCCCTCCGTAAATCAGACTCTTTCTACAGCTATTAGTGTCAGACTCTGGCCTTAGCATCTTGTTTTCTGGCGCTCAGAGAGGGGGAGGAAATACAGTTGTCAAAATAATGGTCGATCATGACCAACAAGCGTGGCCCATCTGCTGGGGAGACCCATCCATCAAGTCCGCAGACACACCATCCCGCCAGACCGCGGAATGCTGTAGCAGTAGGAATCCGGGGTTTGTAGACTGGGAGAGGCGACTGCTACCATCCTGAAGGCATTAATGAGCAAGGATACGCACCACCCCCCCCCGCACCTACCCCACTACCCTGCTCTTGATGTGTGTCAGATAAATGCACAATCCTAGCCTGGCATTGCTTTAGTTGCAGATCCTTCATCTCCCCTCTCCGCTCAGTTCGGCTCCTCTCCGACTAACTGTGCTAGACGTCGTGACGCTTTTTGTTTTTTCTTTTTAACTCCTGCTTATCACCGCTGATGCCCGCTTTTCCACATAACGAGTCCCCAGCAGAAAGTTTGAAAGCCGTTCCCTTCAAACGCTTTTTACTACAAAGCCGGAGACACCATCGTAGGACAATCTCTCCCATATTTCTGTGTCATTGTTACATTTTAGTTTTAAGTCATTATTTCGGTGTGCAGACTTCAAAAGAAGTTGACATGAAATGTGCAACTGCTTTTTGTGAGAAAATATGTGAAATCTGCTTATTGATAAACGTTGCAACTAGTTTCTCTGTGAGAAAAACTGTTTTGTACACCGGTGAGGGTATCGAATGAAATCCATAGCACAATAAGACCATTGAAATGTGAGCTGAGTGTCTGTGGTAATGGAAAGGTAAACATTGAAGCGCTTTTAATCAGCCCCAATCCCCAGGCCCCGAGTATGCCTCTGATGTTTTTAATGCGTTTGTGGGGCTCTGTATTGATCTGGGCAAAATAGACAGCCTGGTCTCTTTCATTCAAGCATAACCATCCTGTGGTAAATGTACTCCTGGTCGGAGCCGCAATTTTCTAGTAAATGTTTTTGGACAATACTCTGCTTCCTACCGATGCACTTGGATTTCTTGGATAAAGTTTCATCCATCCATCCATACTTCCTTCCTTCTTTCCTTCTAAAGGCTTGTCCTAGTCAAGGTTGTGGGCCATATAAGATTATTGAGTTGAATTGGGTCAGATTACTAAAATATTCCGACGAAAACAGAGGAATTGCATTATAATAATGTTTATTATGACTCTGCACAAAGAAGTAATTTTGTCTCTATCCTCTGTAATTGGATTAACATGGAGTCCCAGCTGCCCCTTTTGGGGGCGTCCTGTGCTACCGCCTGATCATTATTGCTGTGCTTTTCAGATGGCGACAGAGGCAGGCTGGTGACTGGGAGGCTGACCGACAGCAGTGCCGAACACCTCCTGCAGCTCCAGAGGACGTGTCCAGGTACGCCTTGGGATTTAACAGTGCTGGGGGGGGGTCATCCTTTTATGCGGCACTTTCACGCCAAAATTTACTGCTGCTTTTATAGACCTCAAAATAAATCATGCATGCACCTTATGTAAGATGCTATATTTTTGTCATAATCTCGACATTTATTTTTCATAACTAGATAGTAAATATTGCTCTTTTCCACCATACAAATTACAAATTAATTAAACATGCTGTCCATCCATTCGTCTTCTAACCATACATCCTGAAGTTTGTCCTAGACAGGATAGGGCACAAGGCAGGGGAACACAATGGATGGGATACCAGTCCACACACACACACACACGCACACAGAGACAGAATTTAAAACCTTACCCTGGAGGTGAGACAACAGTGCTAGCCATTATGCCTCATACTACATAATACTCTAATTTTTGTTTTGTGACACTTATTGACATTGGCACTGCGCTTATGTATGATTAGACAATAATATTACTTGTTCCATTGTGACTTTACAAATTAATTACTTGTGTTGTATCATGAAATTGCAAGCAATGTGTGCCATACTGTGATAGGTAGAACACCATAAAGACCATATGGAAATCTCCAGAGACACAGTGAGAAAGGGGAATATTTGCCGGACGAAGGGTAGGGATAATGCTGATGGTTGGATTTCGGTAGATGGACAAGAGGGGCTCGTACGAGGCTTTCTTCTGGACACTTACTGATGAAAACACTTTGCTTTTCAGAGGGGTCTTGTATAGCTCACCTATATTACTCAGCCCTTTTTTGACTATGGCAACGCATCCTGGCGACGTCTAAAATGCGCTCTTGGGTCGATTCTCTTCAGAGCTGTGCTTGCCGGTCCTGCCATTTTAGGGATTCCATTTGCGGACGGCTATTGAAAGACCTTCTGACTTAAGATACAGCGGTGATATAAAGGAATAAAATGAAAGCAGGTGGTGCGGCTCTTTTTAAAAGGAAATATTTACTCTGCTCTCAAACTTCTGCAGCAGATAATTCACTTGGTGCTCCTCGAAGCTTCTGAACCACACTAAAACGTTTCTGACTGCTCACTGCCGAGTCCATCCTCCACATGAAATGTACCGATTCTAAGCAGGGTCCAGATTCATTCAGGATGCAATTTACTCTGTCACACCTTATAATATGAATTAGCTGCTAATTCATTGATTCATCTTCTATCTATCATTAGCTGGCTTGTGGAGTTTTTATATATTTTGTGAGAATATTCAGTTCTATATTTTTGATTGCATGGAGCAGCGGATAAAATAAAAAGTGGTATTTATTCTTTTTAGTTTGGTGATTTTATGATTACTTTATGAAGTAATCAGATTAGTAGGCCATACCGTGGGTCATTGGGTGTTGCTTTCCTTTTCGTTGTCATGGAATCAGCTTTAGGTTTCTGCGCACGTCCATCTTAGTAGAGTCTCTACAGCGACTAGGGAGGCGCTGACAGGAAGGCCGAGCGTAAACGGGACATCTCTCTAAAGCCTGTCTTTAAGTTGATAGGAGCGTGCCCTGGGGGACTCAGTGAAGACACGGTAGGATTCCTGGGGTTTCCACGTCGAAGGGGGACCTTCGGGTCTGGTTTCTCAAGGGTTTCAGCTCTCCGTGAGGGCCTTGGCTTTGAACCCGAGCAAACAGCTTCACAAATAATCCCCCCCCCCATCCCGACATTGTCAGCGCTTCTCCTTATTTGCATCAAGTCCAGACTCTTGAGCAACATAGCAGCGCGAACGGCGTGGAATGCTAACACACTAGCGGGCGCCCTGCCCTGTTTGCAGCTTGCATTGCACATGTTAATTAAACCCTCTAATTAGGTTTCCTTGCTAAAAGGGTGAATTAAATCAGTGCCTGAATGGAAAATGATTCCTTAAATTACCATAATTGTGTTTTTGAAGTGTAAAAATCTCCACATTAGAATGCTAAATGGGGGCTTTTGTGAAATAATTTGTTGTGTTTTGGTTTAATCCTAGGGGATGTTTGTTGATTGTTGATTGTTAGTTTGTTGGTCTCCCTTTCCTGCTCTCGGTTCAGTTGATAAGACAACACCGCAAACCCTCCTGGCTCTACTGTTGCCGATCCCATCTCCGCCACCCTGAAGGAGATGTGACCGGATTGGTTAGGCTCCGAGGTGGGCCTGTGAGCTGGCGACCTGTCATTGGTTGGCAGGCATCCTGTCAGAGGAAACAATGGACACCTGTATTCAGCCCGGGTGCCCTGCCAGAGTAAAGAAATGTGAAAAGGGTCTGAGAGCAAGATAGAGAATGTGTTTGTGTGTGAGAGTGAGAGATAGGGAGGGAGAGAGCGGAAAAATCCTCTCTTTTGGGAGGAAGAACAGACCTTCATTATGTCAGTGTTCCTATTATGAGATTAATCACCTTTCCACGCAGTCAGCAGACCAAGGACACCGAAATTCGGCTCGGTTCAGGGAAGCGCAAACAAGCACTAACAGAAAGACGTTTGGATAGTGGAAGAGAGGAGGGATTGTTTGAATGCAAAATGTTTCTCTTGCTACGCTACAGTATTTTTCTTTTCCCTCCACCACTTTTGGCTCTTAAGAGCTTGTCCTTCTTTCATTGACTTAGAACCCACTGCCTGTCAGTCACTGTAATATTTCTGCGTTGAAAACGAAGGACACAATCTCAAGGCTCCACTGTCCTGCTGCAGTACAGAGTCTCCGCTCCTCTGGCAGCAGGAAAACTCCACATCTCCAGTTTCTCACTCGACAAAGTTGACCTCTATACCCCTTTCTTCCCCCAAGCACCCGCCTCCAGCGCCCGCATGAGAACAAAGGGGTGGCAGCACTGATGTGTAAGAGTTTATACTTTTAGTGGGAAAGAGACAGAAGGAGACAGGCAGACAGAGAGAGAGTGAGAGAGAGAGAGAGAGAGAGAGAGAGCCAGAGAAAGAGCCAAAGGAGAGAGCAAGTGAGTGAGTGTTCTGGGCCAGAGGAAGGAAGTCAAAAGGGGAAGAAAGGAGACTTTCTGAGAAGACGAGGTAAGAAATAGTTATTAATTACTTATCTGAAAGTAGGCCAGCAGCATCTAAAGGAGCAGAACCCAAGCTATACATTCTCCCGAGAGCTGGCGTGTGTTTGCCGGCAGCGCTGCGTGTAACGCAGACAGGAAGGTGTCAGTTGTCACCTGAGGTCGAGCTTGTCGTCTTTTTCTAAGAAGGTATTACATTTTGCGCTTAGCAGCATCCTGACACAACGGGAAAGGGAGACGGCAGGAAATTAACACCCGGGCTCAGTGTCTGTCTGCTCTTGCAGAGAGACACGGCAGGTTGGGGGGATGGATTTGGGGGGGGGGGGGGGGGTTGCCTCAGCATGCCGGAACATGAGAACCGTCTGTGGAGGAGCATGGCGGGTTCGGGCGGCTCGTCTGGGCCGGCCAAACGGGCAGTTTTGGGCTCAATCATCTTTTTAAAAAATCCTGGCTGTTCATTCGTCCGTCTTGAGTCCATCAGGCACTCGCTCCTTTCTGAGACCTGAAGCTCATGGAGGGTTCACGCTGAAGAGACGTGAACATTGTGCTCCGCCTGACCTTCTCGACCGCGACTGTAGTTCTGTGAAAACGGCTTACTGTGATAACACCAAGGCACCTGTCTCTCTGAGCACAGTATCAAAAGCATTCAATTACAGGAACAGCACTGTCACTTCTTATTCCCAGTAACCATGGGATGTTTGGGGATGTTAGGATGGGCAAAGGAAATTTACAGTCTTTTTGTGAGGGTGTTTACTGTGATACTGTAAACGGTAGCAGATAAACCCCAACTTGCCCTTGTCGAGTACGTGTGGCACCCCTTCATCTACACACACACACGCACACACACACACACACACACACACACACACACACACACACACACAGACTTTGCAGTGACTCTCCATTCATTTCTATGAGGAAAACTCTAATCCCAACATGATGACCTTAACCCCTACCCAGCCCTAACCTAAACCTAAGTAACCAAAAAATATAAATTCAAGACTTTTGGCATTTTTACTTTTTTGATTGCATTCACAGATCTTGATGGCGACCTGAAGAATGGTCCCCACAATGTAAAAAAAATCTGGTTTTTATTATATGGTGGGGGACATTTGGTCCTCACAAAGTAATATAAACCTAATCCACACACACACAGATCACTCCATTCAACTCTCCTTCATGGTTATAATAACACAGTGTTCTAACAATCCGATCAGTACCGCGTGTGCACAGTTGTAAAAATATCTGAGTGGAAAAAGAAAGGATACAAAATTTGCCAAAGAAACATTCTGTGGGTATGAGGATAACTTTTTTCCCCAGCCTGCCCCCAGGCATTCTATTATACATGCTTTCCATCCATCTTCAAGCTCTTTCTCCCGGTGAGGCTCGCATTAACCTTACGTGAGTTATACATAACTCTGTGAGGCTAATACAGCCGCGTCCCCATCATAATGACTGCTGAATATTCTAGAATTCCAACATCCAAGGGTTGCATCTCCATCATGCTTTCTTAAAGGCACCTACTGTTTCCTACCTACGCGTATCATGTGTTACACCTGATCAACAAAATGGCTGCCAGGCAGTGCTCCTCAGAGTCTGCGAGGGCTCTTCCTGCTCTGAGGACTGCGGGACTTTGGGGTGACAAAGGACTGATTGGGGGAATGAACTGGGGGAGGAGCAGCCAGCAGGGCCGGCGGTGCTGGGAGGGGGTGCCTGGCAGGTGGGGGCAGGCAGAGGATACAGTAAATACTGCCTGTCTTCCGAAAATGTGTCTTTGGGATGTCGCCAAAGATGAAGGGAAGTGAACATGGTGGCCAAAACCAGCACAGTTGGATTTTAACCTCCTCCTCTCCTTGTATTGGTAGACAAAAATATATACAATTTACTACACATTTGTAGCTAGGATACGCTACATGGACATCTCTTTAAAAAGTCAATGACACGAACACAAAGCACACTTATATCTGCCATATAATATTTGTCCGGGCTGATACATGTACATGA